GAGACAAATAACAAAATGTAGTAGACTACCTTAGAGAGGTGATATGGAGACTGTGCAAGGAAAACAATTTATTACCATTCTGATACAGCATATCAAATGGCAAATAGAAAACTTGGACATTGGCAAAAAAGCAAAAAATGCTTATGTAAAAGAAACAATAACATTGTCAAGGCAGGGCAAAGAGCCCTGACACCACACACAAGAGTTTGTGTGGGCCAGAACTACAAACCACAGAACTGGAATAGTTGTCACTCAAGTAAGCACAATGCCTGGCTTTTGAGCCACTTGTGGGCAGTGAGGCACACAAATCCAACATTTTCATGCTTTACTGAAAACTAATAATCAGCTGGTCCTGACTTCTAATTCTATTTTCTGCCCCCTTCATTACCAATTTTCAGGTCAGACACCTTTTTAACCCCTTGCAGACAGGTCACGCACTGAGGCATCAGAACAAACAACTCGATCTGTAAAGTGCGGCTGTAAACCGCGGTGACATGCCAAAGCACTACGAGCAGGGGATTCGGCTTGATGTACCAAACTCCCGCATTCAAAGTCAGCTCTTTTTTTTTTTTTTTTTTCCCCACCCGTCATTAGGGGGTTAAACATAATTATGTGTAATTTCTTTCTATCAAAAGCAAATGCATATACATTCTTCGTCTTCAGTGCTTTCTAAACGGCATTGTTGATAGAGAAATGTTTCCTGCAAATTTTCCCTGCTTACAAATGTATAAACTGTAAAGAATAACCACCTCATAAAAAGCTTTCACTTCATGAAGAGAGTATCAACTGAAAATTATATTTTTGATGCTTCAGTGAGGATCATAATTACTAAAACTTATAATAATAATACACCTTCTATGCAAATGCATTATACAGTTGGCAGAATAAATTTGTGGCCACCTTAAGGCTATCAAGCTGGGATTACATCTAGTAACACTAGTGTATTCATGTATATCAATATAAGCCCTGTTGTTAAATAAACAATTAAAATAGTTTAAACAAACTTTGTGATCCATATTTTAATATTCAAAATAAATGCTTCAGTAAATGAAGAAATAGACATTCCCTGTTTTAAATTTCCAAATCAACTTCTAAAGGTTAAATACTTATTTTATTAATAATATTAACAATAGTAACAAAGACAACAACAACAACAATAATGATGATGATCATGATGATAAGGATAAGGATAAGGATAATGATAGTGATAGTGATAGTGATAGTGATAGTGATAGTGATAACGATAACGATAACGATAACGATAACGATAACGATAACGATAACGATAACGATAACGATAACGATAACGATAACGATAACGATAACGATAATGATAACGATGACGCTAATAATAATAATAATAATAATAATAATAATAATAATAATAATAATAATAATAATAATAATAATAATAATAATAATAATAATAATAATAATAACAATAACAATAACAATAACAATAACAATAACAATAACAATAACAATAACAATAACAATAACAATAACAATAACAATAACAATAACAATAATAATAACAATAACAATACTAATAACAATAATAATAACAATAACAATAACAATAATAATAATAATAAGAGTAATAATAATAGTAATAATAATAGTAATAATAATAATAACAAAAATAATAACAATGATGATGATAAGTGTGCTATACAAGAAAAGTCATACAGCAGTTCAGGGATAGTATGGCACTGAAAGGATCAAAACAGGGTGAGGGGAAAGAGGGTGAGCAAATGGGCATAGGTTGTGAGAAGCTGTCAAAGGAAGATATCTGTAGAGTAAAATAGGTATTAGTAAAAGGGGAGTTTAACCCTTTGCCAACGGGTGGCATGTACATACATGCCATGGTGTCCCGTATTCCGGGGGCATGTATGGCCATGGCATGAGTTTTTTTGTTACAATTATGGCAAAATGTTATATTTTTGCCACTGAAAATGTGATGAAGTAGTGTGCATGTGTATGCATTTGAGTGTGTGTGTGTGTGTTTGTGTACGTGAGCATACGTGTGTGTTTACATGTACGTACATTTGTGAGTATTGTGGGAGTGGGTGGAGGTTGAGAGTGTGACAAATGGTCATGTCAAGCGAAGGAACGGGGAAGAAGAAGAAACGAACAAAAAAACAGAAAAAAAAATCATGTATTTATAAAAACACTGAACAAAATTATATCTATATGGAAGTGATAATATAAACCTGTTGAAACTAAACTTTATCTCATAAAATAACTTGAAAAAAATGCAAAAGAAAATACAACAAAACCTACAGTTCTAACTCCATGATACCACACACTGCTTATTTTATTCAGACTATAGAGCGAATAATGATCAACTATGGAGTCTATATAACAACAAAAATATCCTACAGTCTTGATTTATCAGAAAATATGACCTTAGAAAATAATAATACTGAAAATACAACATACGTTCTTAGTATTATGAAGAAAAGGCAAGGTATGCTGGTATTGGGCATGAGCAGTCGCGCATGGTAGGGTGACAATATGAGCCCCCAGCAGCAGGGCCTGGGCCACTATGAATACAACCCAGGAGATAGGGCTTGCGCATCGGGAAGTCACCCGTCGGTAAAGGGTTAAGGGCAATTAGATCACAGTCTCAGGATAAAGTCAAAAAGGAGAGAATCCAGGGGACAGGGTTGTTGTAACAAAGTGTTACATGTGTATCCAGGAGAAGTGGAAGGGAGGATGATGCATATGAAGCAAGGGGGAATGAGGAGCAGAGGGCAAGAAGAGAGGAAAGACATTTGTGGGGCAGAGAACAAGGTTGATGTAATAGAGGATGCAGTAGAAGATGGGGTGTCTTGTGCAATGAGTTGAGTGAGGAGGGAGAGTGGTAGGTACTGGGTAAGTGGAAATTGGAGTGTCTGGAATAGAGGTGGAGATTGGAGTCTCTGGATTTAGAATGGCAAAGGAATCTGACTGGGAGAGGGAGCGGGTAGAAGTGGGATGAGGAAGAGATACTGGAGGAGATATATACATATCTTGGGAGGGAGGGAGAGGGGCTGAGAAAAGGACAGTACTGGAGTAAGGAGTAAGAGAAAAACCTCATTTGGGCACATCCTATCTGGCTAGACATAAAGTGAGGCCAAGTTTGAATCTGAGACTTGCCACCTCAGACTCAAACTTGTAGGTAGGGCAGCCCCTATAAAATACATTATGGGGACCACCACAACTGACACATGTGCAAGGCTGTCTGGGGCAGTTTGAACGATCATGACCAGGTTGGGCACACACAGGGCTGTGGAGTAGCAGTGTTCTGCAGGGTGGCCTAGATGCCAACAATTCTGTCATTGACAGGGTTCATATGGTCTGACAGGGAGGGACTCTCCACAAACATAGACATTAAGGAAAGTCTATGGAAAGTAATCTTGGCAATATTGGTGGAGGACTTACAGCAGCCTCTCAGGGAAATGGTAAAGCATTGTACTGATACTGCATCATAGTCCACAAGGCAGGCAAGTAGGTCTTCTTGTTGTAAACAGGGCAGTTTGTTGGGAGATGGAGACAGTTTTGGTACAAGTATGGAGAGAGTGATGAGACTGGACAGGAATGGGTTTACCAGCGATGTCAGTTAGGGTTGATAATGCTTTTGCTTGGGATTTGAATGTAACTTGGGAAAAATCAGGGGAGCAGCAATAGGAAACTTTGCCTACTAGTTTTTAGAGGCATTGCTGGGCTAAACAAAATATTCAAAAGAATATATTCAGAAGACTAAATAGTTTTGTTGAGATAGTTAGTACTGCAGAGAGGTAGACAATAATGCGGCAGAGAAGTAATAATGGAGAAGAAGGTAGTAAATGAAGAGAGAGACAGAGAAACAGTCCACACCTCTGGGTCCACTTTAGTTGTCTAGCCCTTAGCCGGGGGAATATGTGCGGATAGTTCCCCCAGGCCATTCAAGACTGGCATAAAGTCAGCCTTCCTCCTTTCAACATGAGTTTTACATCATAGGAAGTGTATAGTAGAAGGGGTTGGAAAAGGGAAAGAAACTGAAAGGGGAAGAATTATAATTATAATTATAATTATAGTAATTATATAATAATAAAAATAATTACAATGATTTGGTTTTACATCACAAACTCCCTGGAAAGGGATAGGATGGCACCTTTGGTTCTTGCAGGTGGCAGCCTTTGCCCAAGTAGATGTTGCCGGGGAAAATGAATAAAAAATGGGGAAAATGCTGTGCTCATTTTTTATATATTTTTGTGAAATGTTTCTACATATAGATGGCTCTGCCTTACCTGATTTCATCTTTCCTTTAATTGGAAGGAAACTGTATTTTTTTACTAGTGCTATGAATATCGATGGTGTTATTTTTATTATAAACATCATAATTACTATAATGTTTTCAAAAATTAAAGAAAAGGGTGAACAGGCGAGATAGGCAGAACTCGTAATTGTAGCCATCTATGGGTAAAAACAATCAAATAAGTAAACTCACAGTGGGCATGGCTTGGCATGCCTGTCGGCAAAGGGTTAATACACACGAGCTCTGTGAAGAACACTTATGGTCCCCCAGATATGGTGGACAACAACAACAACAACAACAATAACAATAACAATAACAACAACAACAATAATAATAACAACAATAATAACAATAACAACAATAAAAATAAAAATAATAACAATAGAAATAATAACATTAAAAACTAGAAAAGCACTCAGAGAGTGCAGACCTCCGCCAAGGTGCGTATATAATATAAATACTTTGGTTCAGTAATTCGGAATGTCACCAAAATTTAATCAGTTCTAAGTTAGTCCCTTTCTGACTTGTCCCCAAAATTTCGATGAAATCCAGCCAGCACTTTTTGAGCTACGCTCCTAACAAACAAACAAACCAACAAACCAACGCCATCAAAAACATAACCTCCTTGGCGGAGGTCATAACAATAATAATAAAAATAACAATAATAAAAAAATAAATAAAAATAGTAATAACAAAAATAACAATAATAAAAATAATA